TCCCGGGGCGTTTTTGGTGTTAATGAGTCAGTGGGGGTAGGGGACCCGCCACCTACCCGCGGTCGAAAGGGGCAGTTCCGGCAGCGGGCAGCTGCCCGTCGGCGACCCGCTGCCCGGAACAGTGTTACCGGTGGGCAGCCGGCGGGCGGCCCCCCCACCCACCGGCTACCCGCTGGAAATTCCCACTCTTGGGACCCTGACTTCCCCGTTTGATGTTTCCCCGACCCCCGTGGTGTCCCAACGGACTCCGTCTATCGTGCCTATGTCTAGTTTGATATTTCGGGTACCGTTCGTAGGTTGTATGAGTCTTATATATTGCATGCTAGTTGAATTGGTATCCCGCTGACCTAGGTGAAAGGAGTATGAACCCCTTAGGACTATTCTTAGCATGTGAAGGATCACGCATAGGTTTTGTTATACGTTTCCTCCCCTTCCCAATATGTTAATGTGGGTTGCATGTGCTTGTTACGTGTTATGTGTGCGTGTCACCCCGAATTGGTTGAGATCAATCGGGCTATACGGGCAGTCGGGTGGGCTGAGAACCATACCGGCTGTTAACCAGGCTGGTAGAGACCGGTCAGGTATATAAATATTATATAGGACTAAGTTCCACTATACGGGCAGTCGGATGGGCTGAGAACCATACCGGCTGTTAACCAGGCTGGTAGAGACCGATCAGGTATATAAATATTATATAGGACAAAGGTCCACTATACAGGCAGTTGAATGGGCTGAGAACCATCCCAACTGTTAACCAGGCTGGTAAAGACCGGTCAGGTATATAAATATTATGTAGGACAAAGGTCCATCAGTCGGTTGCGATCGGCTCCTCCGTAATGTGAGACGGGGCAGGGTACTGCGGGGCCGTGTCAGAGCTATATGCGCTGACCCTCATGTATGGGCGTGCGATTGGTCCTGTGGCGCCAACAAAGTGTGCTATGTGATGAGATATGGATGAGTTGTGTTTATGAGTATATTGGGGGATGTGACCATGGGAGTTATGCTGGGGATTGTTTACATTGGGTTATGATTATTAATTGTGCTCAGCTTTATCTGTCTTGCCTGTTGAGGATTGTATACGCATGTTATAACTGTTGCTTGTGTCTAGCCTTATCTGTCGAGTCATTCCCGGTTTTAAAAGCTAGAGTCTCGTAGGATATATCTTCATGCTTCAAAATGGTTTTCGTATATTTACATATATCTCTATATGTAATGTATTTCAACGCGTTGGAGTGGGTTACCAGCATCTCTCGCTGAACAGATATATTTGGCTTTCAGGCACAGAAGAATAAGTCACTGGAGCGCGCTAGAATTTGGAACGTAGAAGTAGATAGTTTCCCTTTCGGCCTGCGTGCCATGTCATGCATTTACGTTTTGAGGATATTAGTTAGTTAGCCTGTGCACCTGAGTTCTCTAGCTCAGGTGTGGCATAGCACCCCGTACTCTTGTATTCTGTTTTTGGGATTTAATAAGATTTCACCCTTGTTTCATAAGTTTTAATTATCCTGAAAATCTGGGGTGTTACATTGACCATCGTTGGTGTCGGATTGTAATCCTTCCTTGTTGAGTATGGTTTCATATCTTTGTTGTGATCCATTGATTGATTCCTGTGATGAAAACATGGGTATTGGCTGTACTTTGATTGCACGATTAAGGGTATGGGACCTTAATCTCCAAGGTACATATGTGGTATCCGTTGTTGTACACACTTGGTGTGGAATCTAGGTGTTGTTGTATCTCTAGATTCTGTGTGTTTTGACTCTTGTTGAGATGATGGATTGACGTGATGAGATGATTGAGCTGGTAAAGTGGACAGTGTGGGGACTTATGTGTGAACGGACCGGTAGTGAAGCTCCAGATGGCCGTTTGGTTACTTGTGACTTGTGGGCAACATGGGAAACTTATCCTCGTTGCCAGAGATGGTAACTAACCCGTTGAGCTTGGAATCTCAATAGGGGGTGTATGCACTTAAAGTTATTAGCTCTGTTTCCATTGGGCTGCGGTCCTTGTCATTGCGATGACACTTGCATGTGATTCGGGTCGTTGCGATAACCACGTGAAGCATGATTGTTGATGATTTGGAGCCCTCCACACTGATCCACTATGAATCGAGCCGTGGTGCTGACTCCACGGTATATGACTTGGTGTGATAGTGTCCTATGTGGACTTGGAACTCGTTATGGTGTGAATATTGCCTTCCATTGCTTAAGAGCATGTTTATTGTGAATCCTTCGTTGTGTGTCGCATGTTTTACCTTGTTGTTGAGCTTGTTGCTTGTGGTTTTATTGTCTTGTTGAGTATGTTGGTCTTTGACCTTTGTTGTGAGTGATTGATGAGTCCATTGATGTTTCCTCTTTCGGCTTTAAAATGATATATACTGTATTCCCAGTTTCAAACGCTTTTGATTATATCTATGTATATTATGATACTTAACGCGTGTTGATGGGTTACCAGCATTATTCGCTGACCGGGTGTTATCCCTTATCTTTTACAGGTTGAGTAGCTTTGGAAAGCGCGTTAGTGGCCTGTAGATGGATTAGATCTCTTCCTTTAATAGTTGTTGAGGCCTGTGAGCCTAAGTAGTTGATTTGTTACACTGTTTAGTGGTTAGTGTTTGCCTGTGCACCTATTATTGTGGTGGCATAACATCTGCCAGATTGGTGTAGTTAGCTTCCGCTTTTCTTATGTTAATGTTTAGACTGCATCTCTTTTATAAGCTTTAATTGGTTTTAAAAGTTGTTGATATTCGGAGGTGTTACAAGATCTATTTACATCCAATAGGAGTTTTACCTGAAGGGAGCTCTACGAGGTCCCAAGTATGAGTTTTCTCCAAAGCTTGAATTTCTTCTAACATTGCTTGCTGCCAAAGAGGGTTAGTACTAGCCTCCCGATAAGAACTAGATTTTGTAAAGAGAGAATAGTAGAAAATGATAATCTTTAAGTTGTAAAGGAACTTCTCTTACTCGAGTTGAGTGACGAAGAGGAAGAACAAGATCATCAGAAGAAGCCAAATCCGTAGATAAAGGAGCAGATGGCAAGTGAGAACGAGAGCTCAGTAGTGGAGTCTGTATGGAGAAACTCAACTGTAGGGACATGTGCAGTGTTAGATTCAGAAGGGAACATAATTGAGGAGTTTGTAGAAACTAACTCGGTTGTAGGCAGATGTGCAAATAAAGTGTCAGAATCTGTAGGGAACAATTCTTTGGAAAAATCAGTAAAGAAAGGTTGGGTAGTAGACAATGAATCGTGAAATTTGGACAAAGTAGAGAACATTGTGTGTTCCCAAAAAGTAACATGACGAGAAATACGTAGCCGACCAAAAATAGGATCATAGCAACGATAGCCTTTGTGTTCTATCCCATACCCAAGGAAACAAGCACGAGGTTCAAGTTTAGTATGCTCATGAGGATGAAGAAGAACAAAGCAAGCACAACCAAAAGGTAAGAGTGAGTAATATAGGAATTTTTCAAAAGGAGACAAATTCTTTAAAACAGGAGTAAGAAGACAATTAATGGTATAAACTGATGTGAGAGCAGCTTCACCCCAAAATTTTGATGGACAAGATGCAGAAAGGAGTTGAGCCCGAACAAAATCTAAAACATGCCGATGTTTGTGCTCGGCTCGACCATTTTGTTGAGGGGTTTGAGGACAAGGGTTCCTTGTGTTTTCAGAAATTGGAGAAGGATGGAATCTCCATACTCCATTGCATTATCCGTACGAAGAATTTTGATAGGATAAGGGAATTTAGTTTCAATCATAGTTGCAAATTCAATATAAATCTTAGGCAATTGGACAGATGCTTTAAAAAATATATTCATTTAAAGCTTGAACTATCATCAATAAATAAAACAAAATATTTGTATTCATTCACATTAGGAGTGGGAGCTAGACCCAAAATATCATAATGCACTAAGCAAAACGGAGTGTCACAAATAGAGATATTATTATGAAAAGATAAAAACCGGTTACACCAACAGGGAGCTCCGCCAGTTTCATAAGCAAGAGAAAATTTTTAAGGCTCTAACTCCAGGTTAGGAAGAATATGAACTGTATATATTTCTTGAATACAATTACAGAGGATGAACTCCTATATATACAAACTATAAGATTTAAAAAAAAAAAAAAAAAAAAAAAAAAAAGAAGAAGAAGAAGACAATCAAAGTCAATCAATGAGAATAATAATGAACCAAAAATACAAGGCTAAATAAAGGTAGAAAATATGCTAAAATATATATGTTAACACTAGTAAAGTAGTAATTTTCTTTTGGAGTTGTTCTAAAACTAATTTCACTACATTAATGCTCATAGTCCTATTCACTATAAACCATACCATTGCTTTTGATTTTTTAAAAGGATCACACTCCAACCCAAATGACCTCTTTTGAAAACTTAATTAGCGAATGAGATATATCACCGCGGAGTAATGAATAATGCTCGGAGGCTTGAGAATCAATAACAAATGAAAAATGCATGGTAGAGATTTAAAACACCAGAAGACTGTCCCAGTCAAACAGTTGACTTGATAATGACAAGATTATGAACAAGTGATTTATTGATAAAACCATAAGCAGCTATAAATATATAGTTGTATAAATGAGAAAAGATGGTTGGAAGTTATAACAACTAGTTTAATAACAATTATACAGGAGCTACACTAGAACTAAATACAATAATAAAAGATATCAGCCACACATGTCTTTAACATACAATGTTTCAAATTGAATTTCTTATGAAAACTATATACTAACCGTCTTGGTTTGGGCCGACATTCTTGATTTAAGCCTATAACTATGAACAACCTAAAGTAATAAGACGGTTTTCACCTAGTTCAGTACAAGCTACGAGTTTTTTTAGAATGGAAAATATTATGTGTACTTCATTTTTTTCTTAATTAAGTAGCTTATCAGTGTCCGTCACATCAGGGAGTAAAATTTAGAAAGTATGATTTTGGATTACACAGTCTATTCACAACTCAAAACTGAGCTTAAAAACCAGTTACCTCTCATGTCCAGCAGACACTAACGGAAGCACAGCATATAATCCAACCACCACTCGACAACACATCCTTAAAAACCACCTGGTTTCCCACTTTTCACAAAACCACCATCAACTTTCAATGAATCTCTGCGATGTCACATCGTTTACGCTCCCTAGTTAGCTTGCCACCATTCACCCTAGCTATTGTTAGATCATATCAAATACAGGTCAGAAAGGGCAATTACAAGAAAATGGGTCTTTTCTGATTATTGTTATTATTCTAAATCGAGGGTTTCTACTTTCTGCTAGTTACGTTTTAGGTAATCTGATCTGATCTAGCTTAGCTTAGCTTGTTGAAAGAAATTAAGATGGGGAGAGGGAAAGTGGAGCTGAAGAGGATAGAAAACAAGATAAACAGACAGGTTACATTCTCCAAGAGAAGATCTGGTTTGGCCAAGAAAGCCCACGAAATCTCTGTTCTCTGTGATGCAGATGTTGCTTTGATTGTTTTTTCCCATAGGGGAAAGCTTTTCGATTACTCCACTGATTCTTGGTATCTCAACTCCCATTTTCTCTTTTGTTCTTTCCATTTTTGTCAAATCTTTTGCTTTTTTTTTTTAATTTATTCACAATCTCTGAACTGGATCTACGTACCTTGCATTGCTAGCTAGCTAGGGTTCCGTTTTCTTGCAAGAATCTTTTAAAAATGGAATAGGGTTTAATTTTTTTTAAGGTGTGTCTCATGTATATTTTACCCAATTTGAATAATGGTATTTTCTTGTTTTTTAAACAAGGGAAAATATAAAATTTGAAAAAAAAAAAAAAAACATGAGCTAGGTTCATAACAAGTATAAATAAATTTTGAAAAAAAAATTAAAAAATCATTAGCTAGGTTCATAAATCATAACAAGTAGAAAGCTGAAAAATCTAAAATAATGTTTTAAGAAAGTATTAATTGCATTGACAACTTAGCCACTTAGGGTCTGTGTTCTTCTTCTTCTTCTTCTAAAATGTTTTAAGAAAATATTAATTGCATTGATAACTTAGGGTCTGTGTTCTTGCATTGATAACTCTTCTTCTTCTTCTTCTTTTTTTTTTTTTTTTTTTTTTTTTTTGCAGTATGTTCAGTGCTTTTTCAGATGAATAAGCTTAGGGATAATAATTTTTCTAGAAAGTGAGATGCTATGTGTAACAATGGTATGTACTTAATTAAAATATATTGAACACAGGTTAATGGGTTATTATTGTGAGTTATACTATCATTAGTATGTATACTCTCAAATTCTACTCTCTCACATCAAGACTTTGCGAGGCAGAATAGAAGTTGGGAGTAGAAAATATGAATACTACATATAGCATTTTCCTATTATTGTTAGATAGAGATTTAAAAGCCGGGTCGAGTATATAGCATTATGTTATTGATTTGGGGACTTATCATTGTTGGACGAAGGCTTGAATGGTTGGGCCTGGCCGGTATCCTGCCATCGAAACATGACTGATAGCATAAGGAAATAAAATTGTGATATATTGATGAACAAAAAATATTTCAAAGATTAAAGCGGTATGAGCTTTGTTAAACCCATGACCTTTGATAGTATATGACATTTGTATTTTTGGAACTAGGAATGCAAACATATAGAGATAATTGGCAATCTATATATGAGTTTGAACCTGAGTCTGTGACCTCTCATTTAGGATAATCATAGTCATGTTGCTCTACCACAAGGTTTTTGGCTATTAACACATTTCATTGGTTTCACCTATGTAGTTAAACAATTATTTAGCACACATTACTTAGCTTAGGGAATTGCTTCCATGCTGAATCGTAACAAATACTAATAATGAGTGTTAAGTACATTTTATAAGTTATATCACATCTTTTATTATTTGTAGTATCATACATTGTAAAATTTTCCTATTACTTAAAATATATCCATAATGAGGGTTTTTTGCAGTATGTTCAGTGCTTTTTCAGATCAATAAGCGTAATGATACTAATTGCCCTAGAAAGTGAAATGTTATGTGTTACAATGGTATGTACTTAAAAGATATTGAACAAAGTTTTAATAACTAGCTCAGGGATTATTATTGTTGGGTAGAGATTTTATGCGTCAAGTCTAGCATTCTATTATCAGAAGATTTATTATTATTGTTAGGCGGCGGAGGCTTGGAGAGTTAGCTTAGGGAATTGCTTTCATATTGAATCGTAACAATGATGGAAATCAAATACTTGGTAATGATAATGAATTTAGGTGAAAATATTTTGTATATTTGGTAGTATGGTGGAATTAGAATGATTATCAATATTGATGTTTGGTTATCTATGATCCTATAATGGGATAAAAGTTTTAAAAATACAAAAAATCAAAAAAAAAAAAAAAAAAAAAAGTGATCCTAATATAATGATATTCAAAGCATCGAACAAAAAATCAAAATAGAAATATGAGGGATGTAGTGAGGATACGATAGATCGGGAAGTGACAGATGAGGAGGGATAAGATGGGATGATACCTATTTTTAATTAGGGGATGAGATTTTTAATTGAAGGTCAGGGCCCAGGGGTAATCAAATCTTATAATTGCGTTTTGAAAAGTTGTCAACCAAACAATAATTATATTTTTTTATTCTCATTCATAGTGTGTAAACCCATGAACCAAACACACCTACCCTTAAAATAATAATTTGTATCACATTAGATCTAGCCTCTGTGGTTCATGTTCAGTTGAGTTACCATGATTTACATATATCCTCCCAGATGTTCTGTCAGGCCCGGGTGTGGGGGGTCCTTAGGGTTGCTTTTGGAAAGAATAATTTGTATCACATCTCTTACTATTTTTAGTATAGCACATTGTTAAATATAATTTTCCTATTACTTAATATAGTATTGATAAGTTGTATATTTGAACAGCATGGAGATGATTATTGACCGATACGAACGATACTCGTATGCTGAGAAACGCATGCTTGCAGAAACTAATGACTCTGAATCATCAGTAAGTGTATAATATGTCAACTGTTACAAGCTGGCCACCAAGTGAAACTGAGACGAAATATATCATTCAATTTTGTTTGAACGTGGAATAGTTACGCTGTATGTGTCACTTTTGAAGGACAACTGGAGCTTGGAATATGCTAAGCTAAAAGGAAAGATTGATCTTCTGCAAAGGAATCACAAGTGAGAAATTCATATATACATTAATGACCTGGGACAAGTAATAATATACTAATATCTTGATGTTGATGATAAAAATGCATATATGCAGGCACTACATGGGAGAAGATCTGGACTCCATGAACCAGAAAGATCTCCAGAATTTGGAGCAACAGCTTGATTCTTCTCTCAGGCTGATTCGATCCAGAAGAGTATGTATGATAACTCTAGAATATATATATATATATATATATATATATATATATAATTCCTAAAGTCTATTCCTTCAGCGAACCAAACAATAGATCAGAATACAATTTATGTTCTATATATTCCTTGCTTATTTCATTCCCTATGGAATAGCATTCCATGAACCAAACGTGCTGTTATTTTCCTTAGATCATCAGTTTCTAAGCTTTCACTAAAATGCATGACTTCCAAGCTAAGTATCTCTCTATCTTGCAGAACCAGCTTCTGTTTGATTCACTTTCTGAGCTGCAAAAAACAGTAAGCAGATTGATTCTCTTTTGCCATGGCTTAAAATATATATCTTCAGAGACTGATTCTCTTCTGTTTGGTTGACTATATGCTCTTCAAACATTTGTTTTTTTATGTTCTTTGACAGGAGAAGGCAATTCTGCAGGAGAATAATATGCTGGCAAAGAAGGTGAGGTTTCTACATGGAATTTGACTGTTGAAAAATAAAGAGTTAAATTTATCTATAGGATAGTACAGTGTCTGTTTATGAATAGGTACTTACACTTATGTGTCTGTATAAATATATGTGTGTGTACTATGTTTCTTTATTAGAAACAGATAATAGAATCATACATTTTCTATATCTTTCAGTCTTATATACATTTTCCATTCCTTGATTCTTCATTCTTGCTTCCGCCTAACTGGCGGGTGGTTGTTATTCTCCACCCGTGCGCTAGGCCATTCCATCTTCCAAATTCAACATTGACCTTAGTAATATACACCAGTGCCTTTTACACGGTGGCTGGTGCGACCCAATATAACACAAATAGCATACATAGTTGTACCTGATACACAAAGGCACCAATACTGCAGAAATTCTATATAATATATTTCTATGGGAAAGGATTGCATATGTGAGGGATACCGTGAAATTAGTATTTATCCTCTATTTTTGAGTGTCAAATGACCAATTTGCTTAAACTTAACAAGATGATTTGAAATCTAGTGCTTTTGTGACTTGATGGTTAGATAAAGGAGAAGGAGAAGATGGCAGCACAACAGGCACAGTGGGAGCAAAATCAAGGCCCCAGTTCAACTTCATTCCTGTCACAACAACCACTTCTTCCTTGCCAAAACATTGGGTAATGACTAATGACTACTTAATCACCTAATCATTTGGGCAATGATGATATATAGCTTGTTGATATTTTAATCCATGCTTATGATACTTGCATATATATATATATATATATATATATATATATATATATATATATATATATATATATATATATATATATATATAATGATTTCACATAAGCAGTTACCAAGGAGAAAGAGCAAATCAAACAAGGAGAAATGAGCTGGACCTAAACCTTGACTCACTCTACCCTCCATGCAATCTTGACTGCTTTACTCCATGTGCCAATCAATAAGCAATCAACACTGCTGGCCTGGCTTCATCCCCATATTTTCATTTCCTATGAGAGTATAGAGGAGAGAAATAATATTGTCACTGATTCCTAATTGTATGTTCATGATCTTTGACTCCTATGCATCTCATGCCCTCAGTATACTACTTTATCAAGAACAATTTGCACCATTTGTCATGAATCTTTGTGTCAGGATTCTTTAATATCTACATGTATTATGTTGGATATGATGTAAATTGACTGATGAAAGATGATCACTGTCTAACAGTATAACATCAAAAAGGGAAAGCCATATAGATTGTTTCAATGATCATGTCAAATAAGTTATCAGAGAACTAACAATACAAATTTCAAGAAGGAATCCAAGAATAAGTTGTTAAAATACCTCATCCAAAAGTAGATAAGACTCACGAGCAGAACCATCATGCGGTTTGCTTCAGCGGCCTGTGAGGCTTGGGGGCGTTTGGATTCCCTTGTTCATAGAAGCTACGCAGAAGAGCAACTGCCTCAGATGCCATGATTCCTCCTACACATTTGAAGCTCTTCTTCTGTGCCACTCCTGCGCAAGTATGCAATGACAATATCGATCCACAGCCGCCAAATTTGTCATTTCCACATCCATAATACGCTTCTTTGATGCCTAGAAAAGACAGGGCGGCAGCACACATTATGCAGGGCTCGCAAGTCACATAAAGGACGCATTTTGAGAATCTTTCCGAGACTTCACTGGGTGAAAGCCCACTCTTCTTCCACTGCTCAAGCAAAACGTCGATGGCTTCCATCTCAGCATGCCTTGTTGCATTCCTGGTCTCTGTAGTTCGGTTCCTGCCCGAAGCAATGACTTTCCCATCCTCTACCATGACACAACCAACCGGCACTTCAAGACTGTCCAACGCAAGCTTTGCCTGTTCCAGAGCGAGTTTCATAAAAGAAAAGACCTCTTCACCATAAGATCCCATCTGATTGAACTCGTTTTCTCTTCCCCTAGTTATTCTGCCTGGATTTCCAGAATGCTGCGCTTCTCAGCTCACCGTCCCTGAGTAGTTGAGTGTTACCATTGCAAGTGCAGGAGCAAATAAAGCAAGAAAGTAAGAAGAAGAATGATGAAGACGGGAAGGATAGTGGTTTAAACATTTTATCAAACAGGTTGCGTTCATGCCGCCGGCGACGAAAATACAGTAGTAATAAGAAGAATAATTAACGAGAATAAGATAGGAAGAAGAGAATTAACGTACCTGCCCACATGAAATTCAAGTAGGGATTTGTTGCTGCAGACTGCAGTGTTACTTTATATATTGCACTCTCAGACGAAGTGATGAAGACAGAGTCGAAGAAAGAAGATGCGTTTGAGAAAAATCTGAATCCAATACCACTTAAGACAGAATGGAGTGTGAAAAAAAGGTCCTTTTTGAAATGTACTGATTTTATGGCTAAGGAGAATTGAACCCGACGTGAATCGAACACGCAACCTTCTGATCTGGAGTCAGACGCGCTACCATTGCGCCACGGATCCCCTGTTTGAAATGTGTTGATTTTGTTACAATGTAAAACGATAATTGCACACTCGTTCTTCAAGTCTTCTCCTAAACTATTACAGGACGTTTGGTTGGAAGGAAAGAATTAAGGGGAAAATAAATTGTAATTCGGTGAGAAAATAATAAAGTAAGAATTACAATTACATTGTTTTGTAAGGAAAAATAATGGAAATGGGAGAAGTGATATAACGACTAAAATACCCTTGTGTAATAATATTAATAATAACATTCATGGAAAAATATGTCATTTCTTTCCTCTTCCCTTCTCATTGTATGGATGAATTCATTGAATTGCAATTCATAGGGAGGACCTATGAATTGCAATTCAATGAATTGAGGGAATTGCAATTCCCTCCAACCAAAGTAGTTTATCATTTCATTGAATTGTAATTCAATTCCAATACAATTCATGCCAACCAAACACCTCCTTAAAGCATTTCCAAGTGAGCTGCAAAACGGCAAAATCCAACATCAAATCACCATCCCTGCAAAATATAGTGCTCCAACGCATGCCACAAATTTGGCATAACGCGGCAAATGTAGAATAGGGAGCAAAGTTACCATTTTCCCCTTGCTTCTTTTTATAATTTCAAATGTATCCTTTATTTGTTTCATATATAATTTTTTAATTTTGTTAAATACTTATGTTTAAAATTTGTATTATTAAATATACATTATACCATTTTAAAGATCTCATTGAGACGATCGAAGCAGGACTAATATTGAATATATATTAATAAAAGTTCAAACACACCAAACATAACTAGAACACAATAAAAATTAAAATACATACAATATAATATTGATTGAGCATTTGTGAGAAGGATATAGTAATCCGATAATTAAATGTACTAGATGTTTTGTGGAATAAATTAAACATTCAAATATATTGTTATATTCAATTTTTTAAAATAATTAATGTTATAAAAAAATTAATATTGACGGAGGTGGACCCAACTGGCTTAGGGCCCAAGAGGGGGAAAGGGTCAAAACCCAGGGAAGAAGAGGCCCAAAGATAGACCCAAGCCAACACAAGTAGTCGGCTCGAGTCGAAGGTCGGCCTGGAAGTAGCCGTTATTCTTACATTATCACCCATGAAACTTATTTACTACCCTATTATTGCCCCATTTATTACCACTAGTTAATTACCTAATTATTAATATTATTATCCATAACCTCCCAAAGTAAATATCATACTAAATACCCTACTAAATTACCCAACGGCTATAATCCCATCCTACTACTATAAAAGAAGGTTCAAGAGCACAGGAGGGGGGATCTCATTCATTCATCTACACATGGGAGGACTCTCCCAAACGCTATTCTCCCACTTACTATTCTTTCTTTCATAGAAAGACGTGTCATTCTTCCTACACCACTCTCCCAAGAGAAGGCTATTCTTTCACCCACAAGAAGACTCCACCACTCTTCCTTTCAACAAGAAGGTCTCACCACCCATACTCTCTCCCCCTCACAACAAGAAGACTATCAAGAAGACTATTTAAAATTAGTTTTAAAAATTATTTTGAAAATCAGTAACTTACAATTTCATGTAAACAGCCAAACAGGTCATCATTTTGGACTCAATTATATAATTTTGTGTTGTTCAAGGACCCAATTGCATCTTTTTTAATTGCACTTTAGTGTGCAGTTGGATGGCCTATTTGACACTTATTCCTTGTTTTTATTTAAATATATTTGAATTTATTGATTTAAGTTTAAAATATTTGTTTTTAGGAAGATTTGAACCTATAACTTTTCAATTTATTACACTTTTATTTATCATAAAGATCTAACCAATTATCCTAATTCTACTCATTATTTATATGTTTTATTGTTATATATTTATATAAGTAATTTACTTTACCAGAAAACATGCTTCAATCGTAGTATGCAGAACATAATATAGTTCAAAAATGTATATAATGAAATTATGATGCTAGAAGTTCATTTACACAACAGAAGTCATAACTTTAAATAGTTAATTATAAATTCAATTATATATAGTTAAATTAATCATATTATATTTACAAACTTTATTTATATGATTAATTATAATTTTATGTAAATATTAATATAATTATATAGTTAACATAAAGTTTATTTATTGTATATGTTTTATAAACTCCTATAAGTTAATTAGAGTTTACATGTGTGTATGTGAGTATGTGTACGATTCATATATATATATCTAGATACATTTTTTTATGTTTATACACAAAATTTATTTCAACAATACATGTTTTTCAAGTGGAATAAAGTTTAGATATGTGTATGGGAGGTCAAAGGTTCAATTCTTGTTGTACACATGTCACTGCTAGAAATTCTGCTATTTCCGTCCAACGAAAATTGGACGGAAAATGGGGGTTATTGGTCGGAAAACGGGTTTCCGTCCAAAATGAGACCTCGGAAAAATGAACATCGCTAATTTCGTCCAATATCATATTTCGGTCGGAATTTACGTCCAACAGGTCAAAGTTGGACGGAAATTTCGAATGGTAACCCACCATTTTTAGGATGGGTATTCCCGTCCAACTTTGACTTGTTGGACGGAAATACCGACCACATATTGGTCGGAAATTCCCCTAGTCCGTTATGTTGATTTCTATCCAACTGTTGGTCGGAAATAGTGATCAATTGTTGGCAGGAAAATCTATATTTATATAAATTGTTTTTATTTATTTTGATCTTGCTATAATTTTGTTTTATCGGTTGTCAATACATTCTATATCATTTACAAAATAATATACACACTATCTAAATTCAAAATGAAAATATATTTAAATATTAAAATTATTTACAATAAAAAGATAGAATCATGTCCGATCTATAAATATTTAACCAATGCACTATTGCCATACACAAAAAAAAAAAAAAAATCATAAAACATAAAGTAATTAATCTTCATGAAGGAGCTTGTATTTCATCATTTAGTCGATCACCCGGTTAGCTCCAATTTAATCTCAAAAATCCGTGCCTTGTTCTTCAGCTAATCACCTTTTTTCTCCCTCATCTACAAATTTTTTTTTAAAAAAAAAATAATAGAAACATGTATATTTAGATTACAAGTGCATCCCAACATAGACACTAAGGTGAAGCAATTTAGTCTAAAGCAAGAGTCAGAACATGAGCAAAGTATGAGAGAACCATATCCAATAAGAGTAAGAAGAAACTGAAAACGAAGCAAACCTGTACATAACCAATTATAAAGTTTCTCCTAAACCAAAATCAGATAACACAAAGCTAAAGTTACTTGACTTGAGAAAACATGACAAAGATATGTGGTATGAATCTCAAGCACTGATACAACATAATTGGTAAGAGACCATTTACAAAAATAAAGCAAGTGATAATATACATACCTTGATTTTTTGACCCTTAGACAAACTGCAAAATGCCATTCAAATATAATCAAGGTTAATGATAATACGATAAACAATTAAAAAAAATATGAAAGAAGAGGTTATAAAATATTAATTCATTGAATTATACCATGTCTCTGCATTTTGAGGAATAAACACATCCCATACAAAGCTAACAGTTGAAAACATACTCTTTATTTCATCAACTGTGGCCTGCATTCAGTTTTTAACAAATTCAAAAGTTTATTTCCCAATCCTCACACAACATATAGAAATATAATAAAATCTACACAACATATTTCCCCTATCTAAATGGGTTCACAATAAAACCTTCACAAGTCCCAAACACATATTTAACATGAAGTAGTTCCTAAGTAGTCTCACAACATTAAGAAAGTTCCAACAAAGTTCAGCAATAAGCAAGATAAATATTATGAACTTACTTGCACTTGAAAGAATATTGAAGGATCTAGAATTCATACCAAAGCTCAAATTCTTGGACCTCAAAAAGCTCACCGCCAAATGTATCTGTCCATTATAGTTTCTTTCTCTCAGTATGACCAGAGACATCATTACTCTTTTCACATATTGCCTCTTATTTTTAAGGGCACCCTCAACAGATCAGAGGTATTGCAGAACTAGGGTTTAGGTGCTGAGTAGAACCAACCTTAACGGAAGAAGGGCAAGGCCTTTGCTATACCCAGAAGCTGAAGAAGAGAAGAAACCCCCTCCTTCTACTGCCAATAACATCAGTTCTCATCCAGTCAGCATCCAAATACTTTGGTATTCCGCAACTCCCCTAGCTTTAAAATTACCTGTGACCCTTTACTACGGCAAAAGGCAGTCCTATGGGACAAACAAATTAAAGAATCCTAAAAGCAACCAATTTGAATGAATCAGCAAGCACGACAATTTAGAGATAAACAAAGCATACAAGCATGAAATATCCTTAAAGAAATAAAAATACTCCAATATGGAATGCAATACTTCACTATAAGCTTCTGCATAAATACATCGACATAAAGATCAATACAACAGATTTGAAGGCGGAGCGTGGTTTGAGACAGATCCGGTCTCGCCGGCGGTGGATGTGATTCCGGCGGAGAAGACAGATCTGAGATCTATTTTAAGAAAAAAAATATCGTTACCTTTGAGCCTTTGAGACAGATCTGAAGGCGGAGCGTTGTTGCCGTCATCCCCAGGCCGCGACGGAGCTTTTGGAGAGCGTTTGAGCGGTTGACGACTTCCGTCACAATGAAACCGTGCGTCAGAGTGTTTCAGCGGTAGTCTTCAGTCTTGGACGGGAGGGAATTAGGGAAAGTCTTGACACTTCAACTGATAAAAAAGAAGAGAAGATTAAAATATTTAAATTTTCGTCCAATATGTTGTTGGACGGAAATTAAAATACTTATCTTTTTTAATTTGTACCTATTAGTCCATTTGAGTTTACCAACCAACACTACAGGTTGGACAGAATTTCCTTTCAACATTAGACATTGGACGGAATTTCCGTCCAACACTTACGCGTTGGACGGAATTTTCGATCAATTTTTCGTCCAACTATCTTTAGCCACGGGAAGATGAAATTTTTATTAAAATACCGACCAATTTACGGTTGGACGGAAATAGCGAATTTTCCAGCAGTGGCTAAAGATAATATTAAAAAAAAAAACGGACTAGCCCGTTTGGCCCACCAGCCCGATGTATACGGGTTGTGCCAAGTTCCTGCCCCGTATTGGGAAATGGGTCTGGCTCGTTTTACCAACCCGTGATGGGCCAGCCTATACGGGCCGGACGGGCTCGTCTTGACAATTCTAAAAATGATGATATTAGCTTAGTGCTGTCAAAACGGGTCGAGTCCATTTTCCACGGGTTTGCATTTACAACCCAACCCGTGATTTGACAGGCCAGCCCGTCCAAAAAAAAAATAAAACACAAACATTTGTAACTAACAAAGGTTTACAGAACTATGTGGTCTAATGGTACCCGAGTTGGACTTCCATTTGGAAGATTATTATGAGTTCGAGTCTGGCTCTTTGTGTTTCAGTAGGTTGAGAAACTACCGTCAAACAGAGACACATTATATAATTTCTATTCATAATTCACTGTTTCACTAACAAATTAACAAGTGTTCAACTAGAGAATAAATTTAAAATATAAATCATCAAATCAATATTCACACTTCAAAGAATCACTAACATTAAATAATTACTTCACAAAATCCTCAGTGAGAGGGAGGAGTGAACTGTGAAGGACGAACCACAGTAGCCAGTACTCAGTAGGGAGAGAGAACGGAGGAGGAAGAGGTGCAACGGCCGCCATCATAGCCCAACTCAAAATCATCATAATATAATCCTCATCGTCATAATAACCCCAATAGATATCATAATCCAGCTCAAACACATAACACCAATGTTGTATATATAAACAAAACAATATTGGAAAACTGTGTTGGAATGAACTTGATCAAGTTCGAACAATGTAGAAAAACTATAAAAAAAAAAAAATGAGAAGTACTGTCTGTGACGGCCTTAAAAGCAAATATATATGCGCGGGGAGACGGTGCTACATGTCTTAAAATACCGGATTGCTTTCGATGGACAACACAAACGAGGTTACATTAGGCTTCCACAAAGATTGAGCCTGCGATGTAAAGCTAGGACGGAAGTGATATGATAGATGAAGACAAAGGCGAAGAAATAAATGATCATACTGTAAGTATTTTTCCTAAATACAATATATTATAATATATTGTATTATTGGGTGGTTGTGGTGCAAGTAGGAGATTGAGTCAATTAGTGACTTAATCTGTTATGCAACTCAGGATATTCAGTTAAGCTTTAACTGAATATCTGCCTATGTTGATGGCATGTAGGCTTCTAAGCAAAATAGTCCTCCCATAGCTCCCGTGTTCAGGACACGCACCATCACGTATTCGGGAGAGAAGTGGTAGACAAAACGACACTAACCTTTATTCTGCAGATTTACCATCTCGTGGCAATACCAACGGCTATGGCTGGGGATATTTGGGCGATCCTAAAGCTTCCGCTGTAACGAGGCAGGTTACTCGTTTACTACAGTTTGTGTTAGTCTTAATATTATTATCTAACACATACATGAAATGATATGATAATAAAACAAAGCGAAGCCCTTCCATTTTTATTAAACAAAAACCATAAAAGTCCATACATACATACATGCGATTAAACAAAACAACATCCTTAGCTTAAAACACCACAATTAAGACCAGAACAACCAAACATCTGATCTGCATATCTATCTGGAACAAATCAGATCAGAGGAACGGACTTCAATTCGCTCCAAACATGATACGATTACTTGTCACGAAGACTACGGAAATAGGAACCCGGATCACGCTCAAACTCATCCCTGAAGATCCTATAATCCCTGCCAGGAGCCTTCATCGTCCGGCGGTCGCTTTTCGAGCCTCCGAAAAGCTCAACAGCCGCCCAGATCAGGCCCAGAATAGCCACAACTCCGCCGCCGATGGTTGCACCATCCACTCCGGCCTTCTTCGACGGTTGCCCAGAACAGTTGCTTCCTTCCTGAGAACTCATTGCAGTGCCTTTCAACTTGCTAGAACGTACGCAGTGTGCTTCGAATTGAAGGTACGAGTGTCAACAACGTATGTAACATGGTATTTATAGCACAGACGACATGGAAGATCAAAGGACGGAGAGGCAGTAATAAATTATTACATTTTATATTCGTGCATATTTCCAATGAAATTTGTGGATATCTGGGTGGAGTGAATTGTGCATGCTAGTATCTAGGGAAGGAATATCTACGGTAGCTCATTATACCAAGAAGCGTTGACTCTTTGAGCTCTACTCAAGAATCTGTAGTAGCCTAGTAGTAGGTAATGGCATTCTCAATAGTAGATTTTTTTTTCTTTTTTTTTTTGTGAAAACCTCAATTGTGGGTTCTTGGTGTGGTTTTTTTAGGCCAGTTTGTGTAGAAGTGAATAGGAAAGAGAAAATATGGGAGAAGGTAAAAAAAGAATAAAATAAGACAAAAAATGAAATATCAAGAAAAAGACAAAAATAAAAGAAAAAAAGTATAAATAAGTCATTGAAGTATTTGGGAATACACCAGTTGATCCATTAACCTCGAAAAAAGTGTAATTAGTATTTTTTATTAAGTTAACAACAAGTTTTTTTTGTAATTAGGATGCATAGTGTATTTTTATTTTATTTTTGAGCTACGCAAAAATAAGAGCAATTGTGCAGGCTACATACTACAAAAAAAAAAAAAAAAAAAACAACTAAAAATACGTCGAAAGCTACATGTTTAATAAAAAAGATAAACGCAGATCGACGGGGACAATCTTTACTTCTCCGTCCACGTCTAAATATATTCAATATTCAACATTGATATACGTATGGGATTTGAAATAGGGGTGAGCATAATTATCGAAAAACCGATAACCGAATCGACCGATAATTTCGATTATCGGTCGGTTATCGGTTATGAGGCAAAAAAAGATTTCGGTTATTCAGCTATTCGGTTATTTATCGATTATGAAGCTGTAATAACCGCGGTCGTCGAATAATCGACACTATTATTTATATTATTATTATTATTATTATTATATATATATATATATATATATATATATATATATATATATATATATATATAGATTTAGAGTAGCGAAATAAACCTTCATTAAGTTTGTTTAGTTACTGTGCAGATTTACACAACTAATATATGTTGGGGAAAATAGCAACGTCAACGCACGATCTGGAAGCCTTTTAAGAAGCACTGACACTATTGGTGTGTGGTTGAAAGGAAATCTGTGCCGTGTTATAATAACACTACCTTAAAAGCGTTATTTGCCCGGTAACGGTGCAGTTAGAACCCAGACACGCTTTCGACAGGCTACACAGACCAACTACGGATAGCTTGCACTAGCAATCACGTAGGCGAAGCTCACTATTGCTCAGACTACGGGAAAAAGAAGAAGAATAGAACAAATAACTTTGAAGTCAGGTGTATTTTCCAAATATGGTAAGAGCTTCTTTATATAGTAAGCAGCTCTCCCATATTAGCCATGCAAAGAGAGACAAACAATGATGTCCACAACTTTGCACAAAACATGCTGACCACAAAAAAAGGAGTGCACAAAATGCGCACATCCTTTTTGAATTTTCCAACCATCCCCCACAAATTTAAAGAGGAAAGGAAAAGGATAAAGTTTGAGCAACACAAATGAGTTGATCTTAATGTCAGTGTTTGAGAACTTGAACTGGCACGTAGTAACACTGAGTAATTTTCTTCCCGGGAGTGATGTGAATCTTGAACTCACCGGTTAGATAAATTTTGAATTCGAATGTACACACCAACTCAAAAATTAAAGCAGGTTCTACGAAAGTCAAACTCTTTGACTTCTTATGAACACCCTTAGTATTCAAGAATGTTACGTCTGTCTCAAAAATAGACTTCTACCCTGTCAAAGTCTATCAAAACATAGATTTTTAATTCTGACAAGTCTTACCGCATTACAGATTTTTATGTCTTATTAAGTCTATCTCAGCATAGACTTTTAACTCTATCAAGTCTATCTTAGTATAGACTACCATTAAAGGCTTATAGAGTAGTAAAGACATAAATCAGTATTAAGTCGTTTCTTTCTACATAGGCAATGTTATTTGCAACGCAAACGACAATTTGTGAATCACAATGTGGTGAAGGTGTTGGACACCCCCACAACTGCACGGTTATCACCATGGTTCTTAGCCACTCGGCTTCTTGGGATAACCCCATTGTCTTTCATAAGAGGCGGTTAGCCTTTTTCCACTCAAGTTAGGGATCTCTTTAGGTCTATCTCAACATAGGCCATCCCAATTGAGTATAAGAGGCTAAACTTCCAATGTGGGACAACATGGATAGGCAAAAGGAAGCCTTTCCTTTTAAATGCTCCCAACAATCCCCCACCATTAAAGGGACTTAGGCTGATGCTGTCATTGCCTGACAACGATCAAAACAAATTTTCATGCCAGTGTATAAAACTTGAACTGTCATATAGTGACATTAAGTACTTCTCTAAATGGGAGTGAGTTTGATCTTGAACTCATCGAATAGACAAAGTTTGAACTTAACGCACTTAATTTGCTTTGGTCGCTTTAAAATATGTGAGGTCATACTCTTGACCCTGAGATATCCCCTGTTAGGTCTATTCTAGGATAGACCTTCAACTCTGTCAAGTCTACCTCAACGCAGACCACCATGACTGGCTACAGAGTATTTATGGGCACCACGAGCACTTTGTACTCATGTCATTATGCGGT